TCTCTCTCTCTCTCTCTCTCTCTCTCTCTCTCTCTCTCTCTCTCTCTCTCTCTCTCTCTCTCTCTCTCTCTCTCTCTCTCTCTCTCTCTTCCACTTTTCCCAGGGGTATCACTAACTCCGGGGGACATGGTGAGTCCCTATCCATCAGCCATTTGCATCCTGGGCAGACTGTCTGTCCAGGATCAACCTCCTGATGAATCGGTGAAAGTCTGACGAAACAGTATGTCACAATCATGCTTTTTCCGTGGAGTCGTGTATAGCAAATATGACAACATACAATACACACACACACACACACACACACACACACACACACACACACACACACACACACCAGGGTGAGCTGTTGTGGACCAAGTCCTGCAGCAGCTAAACACTGTTGTTTTGGATCAATCCCCGCCGTCTTCTGCCCAGAGGGGCATAATAAATACTAGGGAAACCCAAGAAACCTGCTCAATGCCGCTCTGTGGTGAGATTCAGCTAGCATGTGGTTAGCATGCCTTGTGCCGTGAGTATTATGAAGGGATAACCCATTTTGTCTTCATACGTATGATGAGAATCAACACTGCACACATGTACGGCACCCTGACATGTCATGTCGAATTAATAGACAGGGGCTGGAATGGCAATGCCTCAGAGTCTACAATTGCGGCCGGCGTGCCTCTACATTCCTAGCATGTCGGAGCCATGTAGCCTGTGACATCTGTCTGCGCCATGCTATTCAATGCAGCAACTGCGACTGTGAGAATTGGATGCAGTGCTTCCACAGTTCACACCCTAACCGGTCCTCTACGGTTTGTAGGGGTGGCCACTTACCATAGGCAACAGCTCCTCCTCAACTCCAGACCTTCTGCAACCCAAACGCTGACTGGCCCCTTGTGCCATTCTAGAGTAGACTCCTCCAGCGGCGAGTACTTAGAACTCAGTGAAGTTCGTCATATCTTTGTTCTGTCGTTTGCCACTCCGCTTTCTCCCCTACCTTTTTTCCCTTCCCTACCCCTCACTCCCTATAGAACTCCGCCTCCTACCCCTTCCCGTCCTCCCTCACCTTGTGTACTACTCGTAAGTGTATGTGAATGAGCATCATTTAGAGAACAAACAGATTATAAAGATCTGAAGACAAATGAACAGGAGAGTATACCTCTCCCTTTACTCTGCCTCCTTTCATGACGTGCAACAAGTGTGCCGTTCAGGCACATGGGGGTGTGGGCAGATGGCGCCCAACCATGATCAAGTTGGCCAGCCTTGTAAATGAGAGGCATAGTAAAAGGGGAGCTGCAAGCACAAATGAAAGGGGTACCCAAAGAAACCCAAAGTAAACATAGTCGACAAAGGGATTTCAATGGATTTATTGTGCTCCATGTTACTTGCTTGCTATAAAGGTAAAACTGTTTCATTGCTGGAATGTCTCAACTCGAGTGCGCTTCATTTTGATTTTGGTGCTGCTCATCTGGGTGGATTAGAGGCTGTTGTGGTGAAAATCCAAAACACACAGACACACACACACCCTATGGATGAGGCACAGTTCATCGATGAACTTCATCAGCGGAATCTCCGCGCATATGCGTTCACATATTGCATCATTGATGACATCCTATCCTGGAATTCTCCGCCCCTCCAATGTGGCATGGTCTTGAGTGGAAAGACACTGCTGAGCAAGATGGGCCGTGCCTCTTCCTCGGGGCAAGAATCTCAGTTCGGCCAGACGGGTCACTCCCCATTGGCGTGTTTGATAAGGCTGAGGCTTGGACATTCTCTGGCATACGCTGTCCTATGCTTCCTCCAATGCCCCAGCTCATCAGCCCGCACGTGTGCTCAGGGTACAGTGGACAAGGTTCAAGCACATAGGTAATTATACTACCGACTTTTTAAAAGCGGCAGTGACATCCTTAACATGACGTATGCTCATTAGGTGCCATCCCCCCAGTGTCCTGGCTCGAGTTTGGACTGCTTATGTGCGTGGCGGGCAGCGTCAGCTGCCCACTCATGTCCCCAACTTACGGACTGGTCTCACTGCATGGTGCGCCGGTCACTTGCCCACCCCCTGCCAACTACCAAATTTGAGCACAGGCAGCATCAGCTCTCCATACAGCCAAATGTGGCTGTCAGAACCCGGATGGCAACCCGGCCAACTGAGGCAAACAACATGCCTGAGGTCTAAATGGCTGCAAACAAGGATAGTCCGCATCCTCCCATTACGGTGGCTGCTGCTGAGCATGTGCCCCTACAGACTGAACAGCGACTGCAGACCACACCAGCACGTGACCTGCAAGAAAGGACTCTAAATAGTCGAACTGAGTGCGATTAAAGGTTTACTTCCCACTGTCCTTACTGTTGGCCCCCCTACACGTTCTCTCCCCCCCACCATCACCACCACCCGCTTCAGCAGCATCTTCCACCACATCATCTCTCTCCGTCTCCTACTTCCACTCCATCGTCCTCCTCTTCCTCCTCCTCCTCCTCCTCCCTCTCCCTCCCTCCCTTCTTACCCTTCATTTCCGACTCCATTATCCTCATCCGCATCATCATCCTCACATTCATGGTCAGATCAGCCGTTACAGATGCACCCCCGCCGCCCCCCTTTCCCCCCCTCCCCCCCCCCCCCCCCCCCCATCTCGACCGCGACCTCCCAGACGGAGGTCTCATCTGTCCCTGAACAGTATGATCTCCTTCGTGGAAGACATAGATCTGCTCCTCCACCATGCTCGCAACTGTACGGAACGACGCCGTCGCTCCGAATTCACGCTAGCCAGGAACAGTGCATATCGACTCCGCTGTCCACACAGTGCTGCATCAAGGATCTGCTCCTCAGCCAATACACACTAGCCAGGAACTCATATTGCGTGTGCACCAGACACGAGGCGCAGCCACCTGTGCAGGATTCACATGACCAGCAGCCGCTATGACTGCAAGTGCGACTGATCAAGCTCCGCTACGTGCAACTCCACTGACCCCCCCACTTCTAATCCACTTCGCCCTGACTGTTCCCCACTCCAAATGGCAATGACCCACCCTCTGATCCTTGATGGATCCCCAACCGTCCCTCCATAGTGGTCTGCTCTGGCGGTGAATACTGAGAGTTGAGAACTCTTATGTGTTCTGAACTTCCGAGGGCTCGATCATTACCAGCTGGAAAAAGGATTAACTAATTTAACTTTTACTTGCCTGGGTGGATTTGGGCCCTTGGGGCTTATTTGTATTAGCAATCAGGTGGAACTGGGGGGATTAACTCCTTCTCAGTAGTTTGGATCTGGGGTTTACCTACTGCTAGGTGCAGCACCTCCCTGGTGGGTGAACCTGGGGCTGAAAAGTGGGGGACCCTGTTAACCACTTGTGGGGTGAGTGCCACTGAATGGTGGCGTTCTTATGTACCGTCGATGAACCGACTATGATTCTCATCAATAACTTTAAAAATTCGATTCCTAAAACGCGCCCAGTGCTTTTTTTCAAAAGCTGTTTAGGATGTGGCCTTGTTCGTTGTTTCTAGATCGACATGACACTCTGAAGGCTTCTTCTGTTGGAGCTCCTTAAACCCAGTAAATGTAATCAATGCTGTTCAGAGGGGGTTAACAACATTCGGGGGCTTACCTTCAGGAATTACCCACCCTTGAAGGCTAGGAGCTTCATGGGTTCCTTCCCTTTGTTGTCAACAGAAAGGAAGTGTTGGTGTTTGGTGTTTATGTATCATGTCTGACTGGATGGTGGAAAAGCAACCAGATGGAGACTCTCCAGAATAGAATGGAGCTGGGAGTGTAAGGGCCTTTCATTAAATAAAAGAAGAAGAAGAAGAAGGGCCTTTCATTAAATAAAAGAAGAAGAAGAAGAAGAAGAAGAAGAAGAAGAAGAAGA